ACTGGCTGGATGGCCTCATAAATTGATCCGTCATAAACTGTCATACATGTTAGCGAGAGAACCGTGGCAGCAAATTTTACTTGCACGGCTGAATTTTCTGCCATATTTTGTTGACCCTTCTTCTGGATACAATAGAGCATATGACCAGCCACTTTTCACAGCACTCCTACGCAATAGACTGTTAAAAACGTCCGTTGAGGAAAGTAAAGTTTATGTACGGTTCACGAGATGGTTTCCGTATGCCAGTAAACCTGAGGGTATTACTGGTTGAAGCATCGAATATTGTTCCTGTTAGGGTGCCTTTTATTGACTATCTGAAGGCTAGAGACCACGCGCAGGGCATAACCTGTATGACCATGATATTTCACTTATAGATCATTTTATTGCATCGTTCATAATGCGGATTGATGAGGGAAATATGTAATTTTGGGTAGAAGGGTGCGGTTGTGCGGTTCTGAGGGTTGATTCTGCAATTTCAATCTGTGTCCGTACGGAGTACCCTGACTGTCTATTTAGGATCAGAAATGGAAGCAGCACAATACCCAAGAAGGAGTTCGTGAGTAGATTAGAGCGTTGCCTTCTTGCAAACTGGATTTGTAAACAGGTTGTTTATCTGGTGAATTGAAATCGCTATCTCGTATTGGAAAAATCAGCAAAAACCAGCTGTTATCAGCATGTTGCATCGTTAGCATTGCTGATTGCCACCAGCTGGTCAAACTAGGGCGAATCGCCATAAAAAACACTTTTTTGTGGGCCTGCTATGGAAGGCGATAGCGAAACGACAGTTCAGGAAGAATAGGAGGTAATTAAACTTTTGTGAATGTCTTACACAGCCTGGCACCTTATTCTTCTCCAGAACCGTGGACGCCACAGTGCAACGGAACAGTAAATGGACCAGTGGGCAATTGATTTTCCGTGTCTATGATGAAGCCATGGAAACGGGTTCCCGGAAAAGTTTTGGATATCTGTTGTTGGATTCGCACGCTCATAATTGCTCTAAGGGAATTGGAAGCAACTTAAGATTAAAATAAAATGTACCAGAGAAAAGACTATAGTACTTAATTAAGCGGTTGCTAACGGTCAGTACAGATAATGCCCCCCCCCCTCTCCGCTACAATTCTCAGTCTTCTTATTCCTGCTTCTCTTAGTGGATATCAGAAGGTTTGTTCGCCCTAAACATGCTGGAAAACATAAACGAATCAGATAGGAAATTATACCAGTTATTCGTAGTTCTAACTCTGGAAAGACGAATGATCAAGTGGGTCGAGGAATAAGCCACTGACCTGTTGACAGACTCAGGTATTAGCAAGATATTTAAATTATGAAAGAACATACGATTTATCATTGGCTGTGCAGATTTCAAAACGTGTTGACCATTTGCAATCGTTTCCTATTGTTTAATGGGTGGCTTCAGTTTTACACAAAAGGTACTACAAGCGAATTAGTGTAATTAGCGGCGGTTTTCGACAGCTTATAGCATTAAGGCTCGGTAGAGGGCAGCAGTTAACTTGTTTATTTTTATATTATATTATGACTGATTTGCCATAATTTGAACATAAAGTAAATTGCGCCATTTTGGTTTGTTACTGTTTTCCTTCGTTTCTTGTACCTTGTTGTATTGTCCTATTCATTGCATATACCTTCGTTGGAAATTTAGCATCAGCCACCTTGTTATATGAACAGTGTTGGGCAGGATAGATTGGCTATG